AAGGCCTCCAAAGTTTCCTGCAACAAAGGTCATCACAGGTTTCTTCTCTAATGTCTTGAATGTCTCCTGTACTCTCTGTCACTGGAGATACATGATTGTATAAAGAATGTTGATTGTTCAGATCTTTCTGTATAGCAGCAAGCAACTAGATCCCAAAAAACAACCTCATATAGCTAGAAGGTAGGTGAGATGAGTAAGTAAAGCAGAAGGCAATAGGAAAAAAATACGAGGCCCATCTGTTCCAAACAACATGGAATTTCTATTGTTTTTCTAGAGCCCTTCCTTTGAAGGACCCAGAATGTATCTGCACATTGAATATCACACCATATTTCATTTTCTTAATATCTCTTTCTAAACTATACATGCTCTTCAGCAGAGGCACGCCTGCCTGCTGCTTTTTGTGGGCAACATGCTGAACTTTTACAGGAGGATGTATGTTACTGTTCAGAGCAGCTTGGCCAGTGAAAGAGTGGGTGGAGGGTATTCAGCTCTGCATCCACTGGCATTCCTTGTTTTCAGAGGTCGTGAGCCAAGGAGGGCTGTGCCTCTGAGCACAGGCAGTCGTATGGCAGGGTCGCTGCCAAGAGGTGAAGCCACTGACTTGTGATGCAGTCTGTCTCTCTCAGACCTTCATGCTGGGATAAAGGAGGCACTTAGGGTGCCAGGGAGAGCCTGAGGTCAGCACCTGATGGGACTGGGGCTTTATGACTTGGAAAGACATGACATGCCTCAGGGTAAGCGAGGGAGATCATGGCTCTGTGTCACCTTGTAATGATAAACAGGTGGCATTAAGGCATGGGGGCAGTGAGCGTGGGCTGGTAGTTCTAGTCCAAAAATCATGCAATAAAGTCATTTTGGCTGTTAAGAAAAGAGAGGAGTTCATGGTGTGTATGTTTATGAGCAGAAGGCAAGAAAAGAAGTAAATAGCACATAGGAACGTGTGCCTGAGCCTGCCAGACCCTTGAGAGGCAGGAGAGAATAGTAGATCCATTCCTGTGAGATCTGGGGGGAAGAGATCCTGTCCCCATGGCGAGAGGTGTGCAGAGAGTCTGGTGCTGTCATTTCTTCATCCCTCATAGCTCATTCCAAAATGAGATCACATTTTAGCAATTCACTGTTCTCAACTGGCCTTGGCTCTGTCCTGTCACGTGCAGTAGTACTACTTTTGCCCAGGGTCACCCCAGAACTGCTTGCCCTGGGGATGGCAACGGAGGCTGGCAGTCCTCTCTGCCCCCCAGGCTTGGAGGTAGGTAAGCCTGCTGAAATCCAGAAATAAGAGAGGAGTCTTTCTCTGTAGCTTGTCTTGAGGTTTAATTTCTCTCTTTACTTGAGTCTTTGTTTCCATTGCTGTGGTTTTTCATCAGTTTTGATTATAGTCAAGTAATGCTAACATAGTGTACATGCAGTTTACCTAGAATGGAAACTCATCTCAGTCCGTTCAGCTCCATCGACCTTTTGAGAGAGGCCCCACTGTGAAATGAAGGAAGACTGGGGGAAAATAGGCATCCTACTGCTGGTATTTTATCAGGCTGCTACTCTCTTGGTATTTTCTTAAAGTCCCAAGCTGGCAAAGCGAGGGGTAGTGCCTCAGCTCTCACTAAAAAGCAAAATATTTCTGCCTTTGAGTGCAGAGCAGCACAGCACCTGGCGTGTTCCTGTGGTTCTGAAGCCAGAAGGCAGAGAAATCGATCCTGTAACTTTTGTCCAATCTCGTAGCTTTTGAGGGAACTGCTGTGTTTTGAGGAGATGTGTGCTGATCAACCATCATTTAATTCCTGGGGGTTACTAGTAGCACGTGCTGCAGCTGGGATAGACTGTTGGATAGCCCTGGCTGAACTCGGCATCTTTGCAGCAGGCAGGGTTAATGCTTTGTGTATGGGAGGGGGAAGGAGGATTTGTACTTCAGACCTGCCTCTGCTGGGAGCTAGAGAAGCCAAGCACCGCCTCATTTATTGCACCGGGAAGAGTGAAGGAGCTGACAAGATATTCCTTTAATTTGTTTGAAGCTGCATTCATTTCTCCAGAAGGGGGAGAGTGGAGTAGTTGAATGCTGGGAGGAATGTGCGTAATTCAGGATTGTCCTTTTTCCCTGACTCCACAGACACTACGAGAAAAATCAAGATGTTTAGAAAGGGGCTGTCAGATCCACTCACATGTTTTGCAAAGTCCAGGATTATCTGGCTATTGAGTGAGTCTTTGTAAAGTGTGACCCAACAATTCTGTTTTAAGAGTTCACTGTTGGTTTTGATACTATTTCAGTTACTGAGAAAATATTATAAACGCATGGAGGTGCAAGCCATGTGCACCTCATGACTGCAGGAAGTGCATATATGTATGGCAGGCCTCATGCTCCTTTCTGATGGTGAAATTTGAATCTGGCTCACAGATATTATATTGTAACAAAAAAAAAAAAAGGAGGGCATAATTAGTTTAAAGTATTTTTGTTATGCTGAATGTTTAATGTTTTATTCTCTGATATATAAATTGTTACTTCTAGATTTTTTTTGAAAACCAGACTATTTCCTCCATCACAGTTAAATCTATTTTCTTTTGACAACCCTGATTTGTTGCTCCTGTTTCTGTAAGGATCAGATGGGTAATGGAAGCTGTACAGCAACTTTATGTATGCTACTCAAGACAGTAAAATGCAGGCTGACAATAGGCCTTTTTTCAGCAGCTGTAAAGCTGTTGTGTGAATACAGTGAATCCATTCAGTGTCCCCCACGCTTGCTGGGAGCACCCTGGAGAAGAAAGTTGTACTAGTGAAATGACTATCCAGCAAAATGGTTTCAGAGGGGCAGGCTTATGACTCACTCCTTATTTTGATTTGCAGGGTCTTTTTCTGGGTATGTGAAGTTTCATCCTGAGTTAAGAGATCTATAACTCCATATAACTTTCTCCTTGTTTCCAGATTGTCCACTAAATCAGCACGGGTGTTGTGTTCCTTGCATCAGTCCTCTGAGATGGGGGAATAACTCTTATTTTTGTTGTAGGGGCAGGGGAAATTTTGGGTTAAGTGACAGTGTGCATTAGGAGCCAAATGCTCATGCTGTAGTTGTATTATAGAAGCTCAAGTGTCATTCAGAGCTATTTCAGCCTTTCAGGAAGTGTCACATAGCATTTGCCCATAGGTCATGCAGAAAAGCCTGGAGGATAGCTGGGAATCTGTCCATCAAACAGTTTTATTTGACTCTTTAAACAGAGCATTAAAAATGTAAGTATGTAAAGTGAGAACAGGAGGATTTTATGCTGATTTTGATCTTTGACCACCTTGTATTTGAGCTCAGGAAAAAAATGAGAGGCAGAACCTAGTTGATTTGGCAGGGTGACGCTCTGTAAGATAATCCCTTTAACACTTTTTCTTAAATTAAGAATGGTTTCTAGGTGGCATGAGTCACGGACAGACTGTCCTCATTTCACTGTGAACTTGCAGCCTTTTCTGGACGTGTGTCACAGATTTAGAGGGCTTTGTCCGCTTCCTGCAAGTGGTAGCCTTGGCTCTTGCAGTCTTGACTGGTGTTGACTGGTGCAGGCTTCTTGAAGGAAGAGGCAGCACCACGTCAGCAAGAATAATCATGGTGGAGTAGGGGTCCAGGCTAATTTAAGCAGAGTATTTCCTACTGTTGGGGAGTGGTGACATAGGCACAGCCTTTGTACAGGTGTCAAGTCCCCCTTATTTGTGTGTTGTGGTCTGCTTCAAGTTTTGGGTTGTTTTCCTCTAGGGTGTGTGTGGGAATACACTCTGGTGTAGAAAGCTGTATTTTTTAAATTTTTGACCACTTTTGGAAAAGTTGTCTTTTTTGAGGTATATAAAGCCACAGAAGGCTGTGAATATTGTCTTTATTTCTTAATTAAAGGCAAGTGGATAATTATTCAGACCTGTCTGTTCTAGCCAAGGAAGAAAATCAAAGTGTTCTGGCTTACATGCACACAATGTCAAATCCTCTCGTCATGTTGTGTAAATTTGTTGGCTTCAGTGGGGGTAGCCACAGGTGTAACCCTGGGAACAGTTTCTTTCAGGCTTTTTACAGAGCAAAAATGAATGTGGTTGTTGGTCCTAAAAACTGTTCATGGAGAAATAGCTGGGATGCTTGTAATCCAGAGAGGCTATGCAAATGCAAGACCATGCTCTCAGAGGGAACGTGAACTCTGCACTGGCTGGCAGTGTTTTCCTGCTGACAGAGCCTGGTTTGGAGTCTTACATACTCAGCTGGCCCTTGGCCAAGCCTTGCTGCAGGTACAGGAGAGGGAGGAGGGTGAAACAGGGGGCGGTGAGAAACTGTTCTTGGTAGCAGCACTCACTGAAAAGTCAAAACCCTTCAGACCTTTTTTGGTGATAGTAGAGAATGTCAAAATTGATTGTATTAGAGACCTGCCAGTTACTCTTAACTCATGTACTTTGTCGCTCCTCCTCCCTTCCTTTCTCCCTCGACAGCTGGGCTGGGTTTTGTAGTGCTAATGCTGCATTGCTTCTCCAGCACGGCTACTACTTCCCCCACGCTGCTACTACAGAAATACTACAGGAACTCAGTGAAGACTGAGGGAGAGGGCTGTATATGTTTTATTAGTGATAATAGCAGTGAGAGCAGGAATCAAACTGTGTAGCAGTTTAATAGTTTACATAATGATTTTTCTTCTGGTTTGTGTTCTGGGTTTTCTTCCATTTTTGCTGTCATAAATTTTCAGAGTCTGATATATCCTGGATTGTGCATTAAACAAATACTTTGTAGTGTACTATCTTATGGGTTTTTTAAATGCCAGGTTTTTGAGTGGTCAAAACCAGTGGTTTTTTTTTTTTTTTTTGTTCACTTGGGTCTTTTTAAATTTTTTTTTAAAGTACAGCTCACAGAAGAGCTGCTGCTGGAGGAAGTTACCACACTTGCTTTAGATAATGAAACATACATTCAAAAAAGGTCAGGGATTTCCCCTGAGCCACCCACCAATTGCTTGAAATGACATTTTCATTCTGAGTGTTTCCTTTTTTTTGTTTTTGTTTTAAGATTCTGGAGCACAGGGACAGAGTTTTAATGCAAAATACCAGAAAAAAAGTCTGCAACATCTCCTGTGAGAGGGGGGAGAAAAGGAGATTAACAATTGCATCTTGAAACACTCATGATTTGAGGTAAGTGATTGGAGGGTCTTGTCATAAGTTACAATTAGTTTGTAATTAAATTAATCATTATTTACCTTGGAGTGTCATGATATTGTTGTTGAAGGCAGTAAAAACAGGCAGGAGAGGGAGGGAGAGAACTGTAAGGGCAAACCCAGAAACAGCAGTAAAAGTACATATTGCACTTATCTTTTTGAAAATGGGCCCCATGAGTTCCAGTCCCACAAACTGGTAATCATTCTGATATTTATAAGGGTTAAACCCTGTTTAAATCAGTGAGACTATTCTCCCTGAAAGTTAGGCATGAGCCTAAATATTTCCTAGTTTGGAATCTATATCATATGGGAACTATTGAAGAAGGCTATTGAAGAACATACAACATACAGCCAGAAAAATGCATATACTAATCTCTTACTGTTGGTGATAGTGTCAGGAGTAATCTGATTTTGCAGCATTCTTAAGTGATATTTTTATATTAAATACATAGTTCTCATTTTTATGTTTAAACACCTCATTGAAATACCAAACTTCTTAGCAAAGCCTGTGAATTCTACAACAGCTTTAACAATGTATCTGCCTTAATTGCTTCATCAGTGTGCCTTTGAACAAATAGAGTTAAATGTATAAAGAAAATAGTGTCCACTTTCATAACTAGAGTTGCAAATTGCGCTTGGATATTTGAATAGCAACTGAACTAAAAGTTCCCTGACTGAGGCTGAATTGTGTTGTCAGAGATAATTTTTTTAAATAAAGACAATGACAAGGCACAAGGAGAAACTCACCTTTTCCCTTTAGTCTTCTTTTTTGTTTGTTTTGCTTTAATTTCTCATTAAAAATAATCAAACCTAAATCTAGTAAGGAGAAAATACTACAGTTGTAAAACTTCTAACCAATGAAAATGTTGCATAAATGAACACTAAAAAGCACCAGCATCTTCCTTAAATAAAAAATTTAAGTTATTTATTCTGCCCCACAATTGTGCTGAAAGAGACAAAACTGCAACTCTAAGGAATCTGCAGAATCAAAAAGACACATATAACCTGGAAGAAGCAGGGTATACGTTCTCACAAATGTGCAGAGAATCAAAACCTTTTGGCAAGCGGCATTTGCAGACACATATTGCTTACCAGATTTCAGAAGAGAGGAGAGCATAGCCGAACCCTGGTGATTGCTCTGTATTTGCTCTGTAGGAACAGAGCTATTAAGTTCCTTTTGAAATCAACAGGCCCACTGCAGGGAGCTAAATATTTCCTTTCTAGTCAGTGGACAGGGGCCATTGCTTGGGAGATTGTAGTGTAATAGAGTGGTCCTGCAGGTATTTGTACTGATTTTTCTGAACAGGACAAAAGTTTTTCAAATCAGTGTAGCAAACTCCTTTTTATGTGCAGGTCTTGCACTAGGGACTGTGAGCCCAAACAGCAATATAGATCTCTTTCAGCAGGATTCTGAGGCAATTTTTGTAGTTTGAAATGAGATATTAATGCAAACCTGTTGGAAGGCTGAGGTTGGGAAATGCCTTGCTCTCTGGGGCAAGCCCTGTTTCAGGTGCAGGTGACAGTCTTGGCCAATCCAATGTGAGAGAAGTGCTGCATTGTGTGATCCCCCTCAGCCCACTTTTGCTTTCTGTCCATCCCACTCTCTTGGAGGCAAGCATTCCTTCTTGGTTCTGTGGAGCATAAATCAAAATGCTTTTATTGCTGCCTTCTTTTCAGTAATGTCAGGCCAGGATAAGGCGAATGATTTTCCTTTCACAATTGCCTTCTTGTTCCTCTCTGAGGAAGCGCATGTTGAAGTTCAGGAAGAGGTGTTTTGTAGCATCTGTGTGGCCTTTAAAATCATTTTATCAGCTCTATGTTACACTCAGAAAATCGTTGAGGTTGTTTTTAGCTTTCTTTGTATCAGAGAGTGCAGGAGCTCATTGTCAGAGTATTGGAGGGAACCTCTTTGGTGCCAAAAGATCCATTTTAGGATATATTAAATTGTACTGCTATCCTTCTCCTTTCTTATTTTTTTCAGCATGTGAAGAAATAATGTCCCCATTTGTGTGTGTGGAGTAGGTCCTGCGGTATATGCCAGGGAGTTATGTGGTGCTGAGCTGAGCAGGCAGTGAAACCGACTCTCTCCTGCTTTGTATTTTTCACTGGGAGTGAACACAGGGGACCGAGCCCGCCCAGATTAAACACACGCCTTTTTTGTTTTGCTCTTCGTTCAGCTGTCAGCATGCCATGTTCAGATGGAGTGACCAGTCACAAATTGTCCCCTGACCATGCTCCTCAGCTCTCCTGAACCATTAGTTTTGTGGAGCTCTTTAACAAAGATGGCACTGGTTTGATTTCCCCACCCCCTGCCCGGCCTAATGGAAGAAGACTTTGTTTGTTTGTATTTTCCCCTCAAATAAGCTGCATTAGATCCCAAAGCAACTTGTGTTAAGTGGAAATGAGGCTTTGATAATATGTGTGCTTGCTAGAGACTTAAGATTTTTTTTTCCCACCCCCTGTATATGGATCTTTTCAATGGGGCGCCGCTATTGTGAATCAGAAGGAAAGTGCACAGGCTGCCAGGCACATAATGGAATTATTCTTTTGTTTCAGTATGTGTGTGTGAGCCTTTGTAAAGAGGAGGTGGTGGGGACAGAGAACGGAGACCTTCACTGCAGGGAGGCAGGAGAGTGGCACAGTGGAACAGTGCAGGGCAGCACTGTGGCGAGCCGTGGCCATGCCAGTGCCACCATGCCCCTTCTGCTCAGCTCTGGTGGGCACTGCCTGGGACTCACACTGTCACACTGCATGTCCCAGGAAAATGGGTGAAGCTTGCACAGCCATTCACTATGCTGCCTGTAAATCACATAAGGCAAAATATTCAAAAGCTGTAATGTTTCCAGTGCTTTCCCTAAACTTTCAAAAGAGTGATGTAAAAATGAACTGTGCCGATACTGTCCTTCCTCACCGTGAGGCTATTTATTATAAAGGATGTATAGTATAAGTAATTTCAGCATGGAGTACATAAGAGCTTGAACCAAAGCCTTGGATCCAAGCCCACCAGCAGCTTTGCAAAAGGCAGGATCCAGATCTGAAGTCAGTGGTTCACACAGTTTCTAGCAGAGTGGTTTTAAGTTACTTCATGAAATGGGAGTAGTCAGAAATTTTAAACTGAGGCTTTTAAACAAGTTTTTGACTTCTTCTCACTCACCATTCTCCTCTGCCTTAGAAGGTTATTGCAAAAACACAGTGGCTGTTTTCTTCTAGCCACTGTGGCCAGGACACACCAACTCAGGGAAAGGAGAAAGGCCTCTGTGGTGGTGACTGTTATACAGCCATATGCTTTTTTTCAGAGTATTTTTTTTCTTCTAAGGAGTTAGACTGCTCTTCTAGATGGAGGTCTTTGAAATCACAGTGGAGGCTTTGGAAGTAGGATCCTGAAATTTCAAAGACATCAAGAAATGGTTTATCATGGCATGGAGCAAATCAGGTCACAGTGCCTGGACTACCACCTCCTGAAAAGTCCTCTCTTGAGATACCATAGCTGAATTACAGACATGAAAAATTTCAGCATTGTAGACAAGAAATCCATATGGCCCAAATTTTTATTTTCTTGCTAGACATGTGGTTCTGTTTTTATTCTCTCCCGTTTCTTTTGCCCTTGGACACAACATTTTAGGGCTTTTCAATCTCTAGCTGTGCATGCACTAGAGAAGCATCTGGTTATGTGTTACTTTACACATCTGTTATGTACGTCAGAGTCAAATCCAGCACCTAGAGACTTAATGTGTATTTGCAGTACTCCCTGTGGGACTTTGAATCCTTCATCCAAAGAATTGCTTATGAGGATACAAAAATGCAGTATTTCAATCTAGTGCATACATTACTGCAGTTTATTGCATATATATTGCACATATATACACTACAGTCTCCTTTGTATTTGGCAAAGAAAATCTGGTGTGGAAAGATGAGAAGTGCAGGTGAATTGGGAGGTATGGCAGTTAATTTGCTCCCTCCTGAAAACATCATACCTGAGGCTGGCTGCATGAGAAACAGTTTTCATAATGATTTGAATATCTCTAAAAGGTGCCCCAACAGTGTTTTTGTATTTCAAACTTAACATCAGGCTTGTTGGACAGTGGGGAGAGGCCAAATACCTGAGGCAGCATTGGTAGCTGTAGTCTGAGTTGCAGTTTTGTCTGGAGAATCTGTACTATTTGCAGGCTGTGTAGGAAGCATGACTGTCATGGCTTGACCCCAGATGACAACCAAGTACTATGCAGCCACTCACTCCCTACATTCCCTGTACCCCCACAGTGGGATGGGTAAGAGAATTGGGAAAAAAGTAGGTAAAACCCATGCAGTGAGATAAGAACAGTTTAATTATATAACAACAGCAACAATAATAACAAAATTAGTGGTAATTATGATGATGATGATGATATAATGAAAAGGGAGGCAACCAGAGAAGAAAGAGAAATAAAATGTGAGAAAGACAAGTGATACACAGCACACTTGCTCACCACCCGCTGACTGATACCCAGCCTGTCCCCGAGCAGCCATCAGCCCCACCTGGACAACTCCCCCAGCTGACAGACTGCGCAGGATGCTGTATTGTATGGAATATCCCTTTGGCCAGTAAGGGCCAGACGTCCTGGTCATGCCCCCTCCCAGCTTCTTGTGTACCTCCTTGCTGGCAGAGCATGGGAAAATGGAAAGTCCTTGACTACTGAGCAGCTAAAACATGAGTGTGTTATTAATGTTATTCTCATGCTAAATCCAAAACCCACAAAACTTACAAGCTCTAGGAAGAAAATTAACTCCATCTCAGCTGAAACTGGGGTAGTCCATTAGTTTGGGTTTCTGCTTTGCTTTTCCTCTGATTGCTTGTTCTGCAAGTGCATTAAGTTTGCAGATAACATGTGGCTTCTCAGATGGTCTTTTTTTATGATCCATGCAGAACCCAAATGTGGTAGGTGTTATTCCTGCTTAGGGCTATTCATTAGTGTGCAGTGCATGCAAGTGAGCAGACGG